TGATTCTCCATGTTGACATGGCTTATTAGATATCAGTTTTTCCTGATTGTAGTTTCTCATGGTAAAAGGGTTGTTTGTCAGCTGCCTGAGGACCACATTTCAAGGTTGTCGTCTGGGGGCTTTTCTCTGTTCCATGGCTACAGGCTGATCCCTAAAATCAGTCACTGTCTTCACATTTTGCAGAAAGCATAATGGGTAAGAGGGCTGGCTTGGAGCAGACTCTTTGTTTACTTTCTAGAGTCTCTTGAAGTGAAATTGCCAAGTGGCCCACTAATGACCAGGGTTGAAAGCAGTCCCCCTGCATCCAGGGGGCAGTCACAGTGCCTTTGTAATGTAAAGGAAAGGATAATTATTACCATAAGCTCATACTGTCTTTAGAGCCAGAAGAAGAATGGGTAAGTGTATACTTTTCTTCTTCCTTTAGTTTAAAACAAAGTAATTTTTATTTAATTTTTTAAAATTAAGTAACAAGTTGTAAAAAATAGCTTATCTCAGGACCATATGGTTCATTAGCTCCCCGTGGTGCCCCTGTACCAGGCATTCCTTCCTTAAGTCCTGCGCTCCTGCCTGTTTAAATGTGCGTGGTTGCCTCCCTTCCTCTGCTCCAGTGCACTAGTGTAGCCTAACCCTTCCCGGCACACTGTCCTCCGGCACCTTCCGCATGAGCGTGCCTGATTCGGAATTGCTCTGTAATTGGAAGTCAGCCTCACTGGGCAAGGACGCGTCTTCAGCTCTTTACAGTGGCCTACTAGCCTGGTTAGACTACAGAAATAGAGGAGCCATTAGTTGGAGGCATTTGCAAAATGAATGCATGTTAGTGATCTGTGTAGTTACAGAGACCTTCTCACTCAGATTGAACTGTGCGGATGTGCTGATTTGACCAATGGAAAAAAAAATCAAAGAAAATTCTCCATATCCCATGACTCCAGTCTATTCTTTCCTGAGACCCTAAGGCCTCTGCAGGGTCAGAGAATTTGTTTATAACCATGGTTTCTGGATTGGGGAGAGAAATGCCATTTCCACCTCCATCTCCTTTTGCAAACCAATGGAGAACAACAAGGAGAACAGAAGCAGTAAAGAAACTTCCTTCTTCACTGAAATTAGGAAAAATTCGTATCTGAACCCATAATACTATGTTTGAAAAAGGGTTTTCAGATTAGTGAAAACTGTACCAGTGTGAAGATAGACACAGACAGAGGCTGAGGGCTTCAAATGTCATAGGCAGACTAGACAAAGTACAGAACTCTTCAAAATAGATGTCACAGCCTTGGCTTGAAACACGGTCGGGGTGCATAGATGGACAGCAACCTGCTGTCAGCCCTGATGACCTCAGACAACAACCAAGCAAACACACAGGAAACACAGGAACACTCTATCTTTGCCATCCTAGGAGACTATGGGCGGGTGGGTGGTGCTTGAACTGGGGGGAGCAAACAGTCCTCTACCTTCTGTGTCTGCTAGAGAAGAGTGAAGACATCACCACCACCAAAACCTCCATCAAGTGGTTTCACTGGGAGGAGGGAAACTTCCAGCCAGCCCAGAGCCACTCACAACATGCACAGGGGATTGAGAAGGTTCTGGAGGCAACAAGCCCAAAGTGCTCACCAGCTCACTCACCTGGTCTTTACCCTTACTATCTTTTCTCATATGGCTCAGGAATAGTAATGCCATCCTCGACTCAAGGATGGACAACATTAAAAAAAAGAAATCAGCATGGCACTTATGTGGTCATATTGCATTAAAAATATCACACATACACACAGAGGTAGATGGATAAAACACATCAGAAAGATTATACCATGAAGCGGATGAAAATTAAGACAACATATTTTTCTAAGAAGCTATCTGGCAATATGTATTAATACCAAATATCCACACACATTTCAATTCACATAGGAAGTCATCCTTTAGAATTTCACTGCCCAATATGGTAGCCACTAATGCTTGAAATATGGATTTATTTCATATATGGAACTGAGGACCTAAAATTTTAATTTAAAAATGATATTAATTTCAGCTGGAAATGGAAGTTTCCATTGGAAAACTTTTAAGCGTGTTTTGAACAACCTGAGTATGTAAATTTGCTTTTCAACTGTAAATTTTATGAAATCTAAACGCAGATCAAGTATTGCCAAAGAAAATTTTGTGTCATAAGATATGTTCTAAGTATAAAACATACACTAGATTTTAAAGACAGTTCAATAAATAGAATGTAAAATCTCTCATTGAAATAATGTCTTGGATAGATTGGATTAAACATACTATTAAAATTAACTTTAACAGCTTTTTTGTATTATTTTAATATGGGCTACAAGAAAATTTTAAATTGCATGTGCCTTGCATTATATTTCTGTCAGACAGCACTGCTAAGGAAAATAAAAGCAGCAGTATGTAAAGTAAATGGACAAACACTGTTAAAAGTTGCCAAAAAATGAAACCAAAAGAAACTGGAAACAAAATGAATGCTTGTCCATAGAGGACTGGTTCATACATATACATACACGTCATGGGCTATTATTAAGCCTTTGAAAAGAAGAAAGTTTTGCCAGTGGACTTGACTATCCACAAAGTATTGTTATAGAAGAAAAGTAAACTGCATAGAAATGTAATCCCAGTACAGACGGTCCCCAACTGAACGATTGTTCAACTTTTGATTGTTTGACTTTATGATGGTGTGAAAGCAATATGCATTCAGTAGAGACTGTACTTTCAATTTTAATGTTCTCCTGGGCTAGCGATACTCTATGTGGTACCACACTCTCTCATGATGCTGGGAAGCCACAGCTCCCAGTCAGCCCTGCGATCAGGAGGGTAAACCACCAATACACTTACGACCATTCTGTACCCATAAACTGCTCTGTTTCTCACTTTCAGTACAGTATTCAACACTTTATTATAAAATAGGTCTTGTGCTAGGTGATTTTTCCTAACTACAGGCTAATGTAAATGTTCTGAGCATGTTTAAGGTAGGCTGGGCTGTTATAATGTTCAGTAGGTTAGGAGCATTAAATGCGTTTTTGACATGATATTTTCAATTTATGAAGGGTATATCAGGACATAACCCCATTGTAAGCCAAGGAAGATCTATATTGACAAACTACCATCCCAATGCTCAATAGATGGATATGTTTGTCAAATATGAACTGAACATGAAAAACAGTAAAGAAAAAAGTACAGTGATGTTAAAAAACATCAAGTTACTTAACTTGAGTTACCTGTGTGTGGTGGGCCAGGGCAGGACAGAGGAGAAGGGAAGCAAGTAGAAAGACAATAAAGTGTCTAACTCCCTCCCATCCCCAGCATGTATATTATCTCATTTACGTAGAATTGTGCACACACACACACTAGGAGGAAGGGAAAGATAGAGCTGGAACTATATATAATGACTTGTAGGAATTTCCAAAGTGTATTGCCAAGTGAAAAGAAGTTGAAGGTGATATGTAAAGAGGCTCATTCTATTTGTGTAGAAACAACAAATTCCCCATTTACTTATATAATTTTGGAGAAAGGTGCATATGCTAATTAATAATAATAATCTCAGGGGTGTGTGGTACTAGAAAGAGAGCTGGGGTGAACAGAGTAGGGAGAAAGATATGTGTGTGTATAATATCATCACTTTTTATTACAAATGGGTGTTAATTTTTGATGAAAAAGAACATAGTAAAAAAAAAAGGGCAGTAATTAAGTTTTCATTGAACAAAAAAGCTCAGAGAAGAGTTACAGACATCCAAAGAACAGTAATGGCAACAGACAGAATTGGAAAATTAGCTGGCTAGAGAGGCACACTAGAAACAGCAAAGAGATTCTCGCAGAAAGAGATTCTTGGAAATAAAGCAGAATAGAAAAATGCAAAGTTTAGAAGGAGAAAAAAAGAATTAGAAAAATAATAGTGATAACAGACAAAGGAGATCCAACAGGTGAATAACTGGCATCCCTGACACACTCTGCCACAGGCTTTTATGAAGGCTGACACAAGCCACTGAGAACGGAGGGAAAGACAGGTACATATATTTTCCTAAAACGAAGTCTAAATACTGAAGGGACACACTGAGTTCCAAGAAAAATTTGATACAAATGATCAATAATTAGGAATATCTCAGCATATTGTTCTTCAGAGGTTGAGAGTCCTTTGGGCATTTAGCTCCCTCTTTCACAACCACCACCAAAAAAAATCAACTATTTACACATAGATTTTAAAAAATTACTCTTGAGCATGAACAAAAAGGAAAATATATAAATAAATTACTTAAGGTATTCCAAAAACTTTTTCACATGCTTGCTTTTGGGTGAATCACTTTTTAATCTAGTCATTAATGTTTGGAATTTGTAACAAAATGTGGTCTTTATGCTTTTAAGGGCATTGATGATGAACATTAAAGAACATCCCACCATTGTTTCTGGAAGTTTCTTCTGAGACACATTAAGTCTCAGAATTCATTAAGGTTCTTCTTTGATACCCATTAAGCAAGTTTGATGCTGATGCTCTTCTGGAAGTATCAATGGAAGGTTTTTCTTCTTAAAGTGGTCCTTACACGGCTTTTTGACTAAAGAGTAGCACCATTTTGCAACTTTTCATCAGGAACATAACCAAATTCGCACATGAATAGGCTTACAGTTATGCCCTATAACAGGTTGACTTCTTGAAGGGAGACATGTATATTATGTACCCATGTGGTATATGATATTATTTTTTCAAAATATTCATTATCCCTCCCTATAACAGGATAAATCATCCATGGCCATTGACTCATGCTTCCCATATGACTGCTTTGGATAATGCAACGTAGTCGAAGTGAAGGCTGTCACTTCCTAACAGAAGGTTTAAGAGCCATCACGTGGTCCCCACCTTTCTTTTCCCTCTCCTGTAAGACCAACATGCCCCACGTAGGTGCGGATCCTTTAGCCTGGGTCCTTGAAATGAAGACAACATGGAGTATGGCCAAAATTGACCCTCAAGAAACAGAAAATATGAGCAAAAAATAAACTTGTAAGCCTCCAAGGTTTTTTAGTTATTTTTTACTGCAGCGTAGTTCAGCCTAAGCTGACTGGTATAACGCTAAGCACACAGTATTTAAAACCTAGCTTTGGAATGGTCTAGGCACTCTCCTGAAGGACTCCTGATTTCTGCGGGACTTCCTCATGGCAGGTGATGAGTGGGTGATATGTGACTGGTCCTGCTCCACCTGAGATACACATTTAGGCTATTTCAGCTCAGCCAGGGTGAATGCAGAGAGACCTCACCTGAGATGTTTTAAAAGTGGGTCATTCTGGATTACTTAGAGACTCACACTGAGTATGGCTGAATCACAGCCCAGTTGTTGTTAGCTGTCATTTATACCTGCATTCTGGTTAAATGTCCTGAAATTCTAAGGTCAGAAGACACTTGCGGGACTGGAGACAACACCTCACTTTGGGACACTATAGTAGTTTTCAGCGGGGACGGGGCTGAGGAGGGGAGGAAGATGCTCTAGATCTGAAGGGTGCACTCCTGTGTTTCTTCTTTCCAGTTAAAGCTGACTCCATGATGGAAGTACCAATCTATGAAGAATAAGGATCTTTTGGCTCCCCAAAGCAGAAAGTTCAGTATCTGTGCTTAGGGTTCTGTTGGAGAAGTGGCTGAACTCAAAATGCATCAGGGATCCAAGTGCAGTTCAGTGTTGATGGCTTCAACAATTCACAGCAGTTCTTCAAAGAAGACAGGCTGTGGTTCCCTCCTGGGATGACCCCCCCGGGACCAGTGACAACAGTGCTGGTAGAAAGTGGAATGAAACTGTTAGCTGAGACTTAGAAGATGGAAACAATAAATGAGCAGAAGATGACACGTTAAAAATAGCATATGACAGGGAGCTGACTTCCCCCCTCACATTCAGGTGAGAGTGCGTTAAGGACAGAGGCACCAAAGAATTAGTTTTGAATCTGAAACCCTGTTTGACCTTAAGGATTCCCCCTATTTCCTCCAGAATAAACAAAGAAAGGATAGAATTAATCCTCATCAAACACCTGCACATTAAGAAGGGCAGATGGGGTGAGGGTATTGATTTTGCAAATAGAAACTGTACAGGGAAGGGGTGGCCAGCATGGGGCACCAGCAGCCCCTCAGCTACCATGGCCCATCAGCATCACCGTGTTGTCAGGACAGCCAGCGTTGCTTGATCCCCTTGAAAATGAGGCAGCACCTAGTAACTAGTACCAGAGTACTACAGTACTAATTAAGGGCATGGGCTCTGTGAGCAGAAAGACCCCAGTTTTCTTGGGTCCTTCTATCTTGACTGTGCTTGCGCTCATTTTGCTTGGGTCAGTGACATAGCCTCCCCAAGCCCTAATTTTATATAACGCTTAAAAAAGCAACAGTGCCTAACTTACACAGTGTCTGCAAGGTGTGAGTGAGCTGATTCACAGCAAGCACCCAACACACAGTGGGGAAACGTGAAACACTTGAGCGACACTAGATGGCTATGGGTCCTAGTCTTAGCTGAGAAACGTCAAAATGAAAGGCAGTTAGAATTGCCACAGAGGTTCTCATATTTAAATAAAGTAAGAGTTATGAAGATTAAAAATAAGTGGAAGGGGTCTTTATGTCTGATTTTTAAATTAATGATGGATATAAACAAGTTGTGATCAAGAATACAATACCTGCTCAGTAGGCTCTGGCAACACGACACCACGTCGGTTGTGTTTTGAGGTAAGCCGGAGGCGAAGGCGTTCTCTAAAATGTGATGGCAGTTGATGTCTACAGGAGTGCTGGAGAGGATGCCTAGAAGTGGAACAGAGCGTCACGAATTTTATTAATTCACGAGGTCACTGATGTCTCCTGTTCTAACTTCTCTACCACGCTCCACACATTTCACTTCACGACATGCTTAACACGGCCCTGCCTCTCAGCTCTCTGCACAGCATATGCTGCACGTGCAGGTTGCAGGCCCCACCCCCCTGAGAGCTGTGGGCACAGGGACACAGGACACAAAGAATGGAAGCAGTACCTGCGATGCAGGCGATCATGAAAGAGGAAATGATTCCTGCAATCAAAGCTCTCACTGCTACTGCTGCGATGTCACGCTTCCTGGTAGGAGCAATGGATGCTGGAAACATGGAAGCAGATATGAGGTTAATGTTGAAGCTTATTGTTTAGAATTTCAAATTCCCAACCTCCGAGAATTGTTTTGGGGCTGGAGTCTCAGATCAGCTGACTTTTCCTTTTTTTATTCAAACTTAGCTGGGAAATTAAAGATTCAAGAGCTTAGTGATGAGTTCCACATCCAGAGAAGTCCCCTGGTGTGGAAGGAAAAGAAGTCTGTCCACACTGAAAGGCCCAGAGGCTTCCATTCCCCATGGAAGAAACAAGTCCTAAGGTTCATCCAAAGGGCGCACACAGCATGCTGAGGGCACAGCAGCACAATGCATAGCAAGGAAGGATCCCAAACATCTGCAACTCATCTGTCACCATCCACGTCTGTGCCCGTAGAAGACATGACTCATGAATCACAGCATTTTCCCACTTACCTTCCATTGGACCTCAGAATCTTTCTCCAGGTGGCCATTATAAGTCTACTGGAATTGGCATGTGAAGTGAAAGCCATGTGTCATCCCTGGCTGGAAAAGCACCTGAGCATTTGGGCAAATTCTACCCGATGTTAGCTTGGGTCTACACAGGGAAACTACATTGCAGAGCAGGGATAACAAATAGACCCCAAAGGATTCACTGCTCTTGCAGGGCCTTCTTTTCCTTACTTGAATAATGTTACAGAGCAACATGGAGATCTGAAGCATGTTTACAACACATCTTTTGTTGAAGAATGTTGTTTTTACTTACTGAATGTGCCGATCACTATTCCTAGGGAAGAGATATTGCCAAAGCCATAGAGAGCATAAGTGGCAATTGTCTCAGAACGAATCTGTAAATAAGCATAAAGACACAGATGCATACATGGTGTGACCAACTTAGTAAATCTGACACCCTAACTGGGCTTCCTATTCTGATGACAGAATCAATACTGGCAAATAAGTGCGCAGTGCACGGTGTCAAACACCTGTTGCTTCCTAGACTCTAGTTTCCATTTCCCCTTGAATTTCAATGGAGACAAAGGGGCTGTGTGGATTCAGAGACTCTCTACAAAGGACTTGGAATTGGTAGTTTGGGCCCCTACAAATGTTACTTTCTGCTCAGTGACACTTTTTTTTTTTGAAGAATCCAGGATTTTTTTTTAAAGTTTGGCTCCTGAGCTAACATCTGTTGCCAATCTTGTGGTTTTCTCCCTTTTTCCCATAGCTCCCCAGTATATAGTTATATGTTCTAGTTGTAGGTCCTTTTGGTTCTGCTCTGTGGGACTCTGCCTCAGCATGGCTTGATGAGCGGCGCTAGGTCCATGTCTAGGATCCCAACCAGTGAAACTCTGGGATCCGAAGTGGAGCACACGAACTCAATCACTCAGCCACGGGGATGGCCCCTCAATAACAACTTTAAATATTCAATGTGACCTGGCCACCTGCTATAATGTGCCAGGCACAGAACCAGTTGCTGAAGATACAAAATTGGTCCCAGAAAACATTCACATTTGACAAAGGACTTATTCAGAATCCAATGATCTTTCTTTCACCATACATTACTTTGGCTTGTTCTAGAATTTCCTATGAGTGGAATCACTTAGCGTTCATGTTGTTGCATGTATTATTTATTTGCCTTTTTATTGCACAATAGTATGCTCTTTTATGGAAATCTACAATTTGTGTATCCGTTTACCTGTTGAAGAACATTTGGGTCACTTCCAACTTGGGACTTTTAGGAGTAAAGCTGCTATAAATATTCATCTACAGCCTTTGTGGGCATATCTTTTTATTTCTCCTGGGAAAATTTCCGGTAGAGGGATTGCTGGGTCATGCAGGCAGTGGATGTTAACTTGATAAGAAACTGTGAAGTATGTTTGTATTTTAAAAACAGGTTATGTCACTTTACATTCTCACCAATGATGTACAAGAGTTCCAGTTGCTCCACATCTCTGCTAACACTTAGTATTGTCCACTTTTTCAGCCATTTTAGTGGATGTGTGGTGGGATCTCATTGTTTTAACTCGCATTTCCCTAGTGATAAACACTATTGAACATCTCATGTGCTTATTGGATGTTTGCATGTCCTTTGTAAAATCTCTTTATTCATTTCTTAGGCACTTGTCTTATTATTATTGTTGAGTTACAACAGTTCTTTATACATTCCTGGGACTGGGTTTGTGTGGGAGTCGGGGGCTGTTGACTACACTGGCCATGAGGAAGATTTTCTAGGTGTGGTGGAAATGTTCTATATCTGATTGTGGTCATGGTTACACAGGGGACACATTTGTTAAAATTCACATGTACACCAAAAATGGGCCTTTTTTGTATGTAAATTGTATTTCAGTATAAAGGATATACTGGAAAAGGAATCATATCAGTAGAAAGGCAGCTCACAGATTTCACAGGAGTCCTTTCCATCTGGTTGTGGGGTGTGCTTGCCTTTCTTTGCTCCTCAGCTCTGACCAGCCCATAGGAACATTAGGTGCCTCTTCGAAGTGGGAGAACGGACTATCCTCTCACAGGGCCATGAGAGGATGGAAGGTGAATTCGTCCAAGTGTGAGCGTGGCCCTCCATCTCTATTCTGAAGGCAAGAGGTGCTGCTCAGCCAGATGGTTCTTTCTCAGGGTGAGGGACTGACTGCAGAGGATTGGAAGAGCCAGGGCACTTCACTGTTCACTGGAGGAACACCCAATCTGGCAAAGGCACCCTGACAATTGAGGCAACAATTATTTTCCCCGAAAATCCTGAAAAATCTATGATTTAGTTCAAAAAACAAACCAGGCCAATGCTACATTCAAAACTGGTGGTGCCTTTATTTCTTTCACTAGCTGGATTTTTTAAAGCTGCCATTCAAGACTCAAATGGTTATGGTAAGTTTTAGTTGAGAAAGCGCCTCTTTTTCCCTGGTTTCTGAGAACTCCTTTGTTGATGTTTTCAATCAGCATGCATATAGCAGAAAGGGAAAAAATATTTCAAGTATTTGAGCAGTCCACTGTTTCTGGAGTAGCTCATCCTCGTCCCCTGCTCTGTCTAGTGCTTTTCATTTAGTTCAATTGGCTTCAAAAACAGGCCAGCTTATTAGGAGACCATGGGGAGGGAGAGGGCATGAAGTGCTCGAGTGTCCTCTTTCTCCTTTCTGGGGATCTGCAGAGGAGGGTACACAGATGGGGCCACGTAGGGTTTTATAAAAAGAGGGAAAGGAAGCTGGGATGATTCCACTTTGTCGTTGCCCATAAATATGCAAGACTTCATGGTGGAAAGAACTGCACTAGGAAATTAATAGTACATCCTACAGCTCTCCTTGACATGAGCAAAGATGCCATATGTACAGGGACAGTCATTGTAGCACTACTTCCAATAGCAAAAAATCGATAAGAGTGTTCATCAACAGGGGACTGGCTAAAATAGGTTATGGTGTGCTTGCACATAGAATACTGTGTCACAGGCACTGGTGTGGAAAGGCATTTGAGATGTGTTATTAAGAAAAAAGAGCAAGGCTAAGAACAGTGAACATAATACGGCACAGGGAGAGGAGCTAGTGCCAGTGAAATAGGGAGGATGACTCACTTTTCCCTCTATAGCTTTTTGTACCTTTTGAATTCTGTGCCATGAAATGTATTACATATAAACAAACAAACATGCAAAGTATCATCTTTAAGAAAGAGAAAATGGAGTAATAAAGTGCAACATACACATGCTGACCTCTTACCTTAGATGGAGATCAGCATTGGGCATAATTTAATGGGTAACACAGAGTTTTTGCCTTATGGAGCCAGATCTTACACTTCAGTCACGTGGTACCTTTTCCAGGAGACTACTGGGACACCCCCTCCACTTCTTTGTTGGTAAACAGAAATTGCAGGGACTCATCCCCATTTTGTTGATTAGAAATAAGAAACTGGGAAAAACAAAATGCTTTTCCCATTGTGAGACAACAATAACAGAAGCCATTGAGCTCATATTCCTAAATACCCTCTGTGCACCTGCCCCTGGTTGGGCTCACCTCCAACCTGAATCAGCTCTACTGGCCTGTCTCTATCCTCTTACTAACCTGCTCACAAACCTGCTCAGCACTGCCAGACCTGTGAGCTTGCTTTGCTCATTAACAAAACTACTCTCTCCTGACAACTGGCAGTTGGGAATAAAAAACATTTCGCTTAACTGAGCCTACGGTTTACTTTTGGCAGGGAAGCAAGCTGCTTTGTGGTGGCATCCAGACAACAAGGACATTTGGCCAAGCCCCACTGCGTGGTCAGCTGAAGAATGAGCATATGAGAAACAGGAGACCTACAGAGTCACTATTCACATCAGAAGTGTGAGTCAAATGCCCCTGATTAGAACACACAGATCAATACTCTCCCGGGGTGTGCTGTTATTTTGTGTAACACGTGGGAGTAAATGTGCATGTTTGGTCTCTGGGAGGCTGGAGAGTGGGGGCTGTTCAGAGGTGGGCCATCTCAGTTAGGAGCTTGGGCAGCATGCTTTCCCTCCCCTTTCCTTTAAAAGCCCAATATGTGCCTAGGACATTAATTCCAAATGGATTGTTTCCATGGATCATAGTGGTGGCCAGAAATACTCACCGTTTCCCTAAGAGTTTCCATGTGTGCCAATTCTGTTCTTTAGGAAAATAAAAGTTGGAGACTCAGCTGCAAATATGGCCCAAGTAAGAGCCCCACCTGAGCTCCCTTATCCCATCCAAGGCCAAGGGGACATGAGCATCTCCTTGCAGGCTATTGACCTGAAGGCCTGACATAGTTTTAGGGCACTTGTTTCAAAGGTTCAGACAATAGACCCTGAGCTTCTTCTCTTCCCTCCTCTACGTGGAGAGCAGTGATTGTGTCTCACTACTTCGTTAGGATGTCTGGGCACTAGGTTGCATTTAGGCAGTTTCTCAGAGTTCATAGAATTCCTTAAGCTGAAAGGAAGAGAGCTTCCTGATCATTAGACTCTGAGACCCAGGAGGGCAGAGGCCTTATCACTTGTTCAACGCTGTGGCCTCCTTTTCTAGGTACACTGCACACAGAAGGCATTCGATAAATGTTTGTTGATGGACTGATTCCAGTCCCAGCTCATATGACTCTGGGATTGGATCCATAGTGCTCAAGAGTACATGACTGCAGTGGTAAGGATTAGCTGTGGTTCTACACACACACACACACACACACACACAAGATTATTAATTCAACATAACTGAGAATTATGTGGTGCTATGTTCATTACGAGCTCCATGAGCTCTGGGATTTGGGTCTGTTTTGTTCTTTGATTTATCCCAAGTGCCTTGCCTGACACACAGAGGCACTAGTAACTATTTGTTGAGTGTATGTATGTGATAAAGACGTGCACCAAAAAATCAAAATATTTACTCACCGACATATATTGCTGCACACCATTCACAAATTTGGGTCCAGCCTCTTTCCGTAAATTCACCAATTTTGAGAGGCGCCCATAAGCCACAAGCTCATTAAAGAAGGTCTTATAACCTATGAGTTTGCCAACCATAAAGCTGTCTTGCCAGTCCACTCCCATCATGAAGGAAAAGGGCATGAAGATGTAGGAGCATATCATCTACAAAAACCAAAAATGGATACTTTATTAGAGTAGCTATTTGCTCCCATTCTCCTGCCTCACCCTCATGACAAGATTGTTCCCACCCCTCTGTGTGTCCTTATAGACACAGAAATCCCCTCATGTGCCCTTGTCCATCTTCATTCATTAGAAGTCAAGGTTCAAATTAGTCATATGAAGTGACTGGATCCTTCGGATGGAGAGAATGACAGTATGTTGGTGGAATGAGGGTAATAGGAGACAGAGAAAGAGCTGTGGGAAGATAGAGGATACATCTAAGTTTTGTGTTGGTGTAAGAGTGCACTAGAGGCAGTTAGGGAAGGTGAGTCACAAACCTATTTTATTTTTAAACAAAGATGGGCAGAAACAAAATGGAGAACAAACGTGATAGAATATATACCTCGAAACTCAGCTGTGGGTAGTCAAACATGCTTCCAAACCAGGACAGGGCTGCATTCGCAAAAGACGACAGGGCCAGGAAAGCAATCAGAATCACAGTGATGTTTGCCACCAGGGAGATGGATGCGGATGCTCCCTGTGATGCTGCTTCTAGGATATTCCTTGAATCACTTTATAAAAAAATAGCAATGGCAGAATTACCACGGAGCTGTCAGCAGATGGACATCACAGGTGTAGATATGGGGAAATCAGAGCTCATTCGGATGGAGAGACAAATTCTCAGGTCCATGCCTTGGTTAAAATCCTCACCTGGATTCCATGAAATCATGATGGGATTTATAATTACTGAGTGTAGGTGATGGGCATATGGGTGTCTGTTTTACTACTCTTTTAATTGGTGGCATTTATAATTAGAAAGTTGGGAAGAGATAAAATACTATATTTTTAAAAATTTTATTTAATTAAAAGTAGCTACCAGAGAATATTTATAACATATTCATGGAATAAGCACTAATACTTTAAGGAAGGCCTGAATATCCATCACCTAAGAAATGGAAGTCACCCTCACCTTAGGTCCCCCTCCTCACACCGTGCCCTTCCTTAATCTCATCCTCTTCAATCTCATAGGTAACTGGCTCCCTAGAAGTTGCTTATCATTCCCTTTCTTTTCAATTTCCCTATATGTCTGCATCCCTAAATAACATGTTGTGTAGGTTCACACATTTGCTAACTTTATAAGTGGAATCACACGTATTCCATATATATATTCTTTGGCAACTTGACTTTTCATTCATGGTTATGACTTTACCTCCATACAAACAAGAGGTGAATCTTGGAAACATGTTGGTTGTTGGATTCTGTTATTTAATAAAGTACTTTTTTTTTCTTTTTCTTGCTGAGGGAGATTCTCCCTAAGATTGGTAACATCTGTACCAATATTACTCTATTTTGGTTGTGGGTCTCCACCACAACATGGCTGCTGCTAAGTGGTATAGGTCTTCACCAGGAACTGAACCCAGGCTGCTAAAGTGGAGCATGCTGAACTCAACCACTAGGCCACAGGGTTGGCCCCAATGAAACACTTTTGAATAACCTAAATCCCTTGGTCTTTTCCACCCTTTTCTCTTTGTTTTACACAGGGCAAAAGAAAATGAACTGAAGAAAGTTTAAGGATACCCATATCATGCCTTCTTTCTCTATCATATGAGACATTTCCAGAAATGGTCATCCAATGATTTTGCAAAAATCTTAAATCAAGGCTAAATGAACACCACACTATATTTAAAATAAAATACCTACATTGAAGTCAAGGAAATGTAATGACTTTCAGGTATTTAGAAAGGTTCTCAGCAAAGCAATCTTGAGAAAGACGAACAAAGCTGGAGGCATCACGTTCCCTGATTTCAAACTGTACTACAAATCTATAGTAATCAAAACAGTGTGATACTGGCACAAAAACAGACACAGAGATCAATAGAACAGAATAGAGAGCCCAGAAATGAATCCCTGCTTACATGGTCAATTAATATACAACAAATAAGACAAGAATATACAAAAGGGAAAAGACAATCTCTTCAACAAATGGTGTTAGGAAACCTAGACAGCTATATGCAGAAGACTGAAATGAGGCCATTTTCTTACACCATACACAAAAATAAATTCAAGATGGATTAAAGACTTGAATGTAAGACGTGAAGCCATAAAACTCCTAGAAGAAAACTTAGGCAGTCAGCTCTTAGACATTGGTCTTAGCAATATTTTTATGGATCATCCGTCTCCTCAGGCAAAGGCAGTAAAAGCAAAAATAAACAAATGGAATTATATCAAACTAAAAAGCTTTTACAATGAAGGAAGCCATCAACAAAATAAAAAGACAACCTACTGAATGGGGGAAGGCATTTGCAAATGATATATCCAATAAGGGGTTAATATCCAAAATATATAAAGAACTCATACAACTCGGCAGATGACAAACAAAAAATCCAATTAAAAGTGTGAAGAGAATGTGAATAGACATTTTTCCATAGGAGACATACAGATGGTCAACAGATGCATGAAAAGACGCTCAACATCACTATTCATCAGGGAAATGCAGATCAAAACTACAAGTTATCATCTCACCGATGAGAATGGCTATTATCGAAAAGACAAGAAATAAGTGTAAGTGAGGATGTGAAGAAAAGAGAACTCCTGTACACTGTTTTTGGCAATATAAACTGGTGCAGCCAGCCAGTATGGAAAATAGTATGGAGATTCCTCAAAATATTAGAGATAGAACAACTATACAATCCAGCAATCCTATTTCTGGATGTTTATTCAAAGAAAATGAAAACAGTAATTCAGAAAGATATATGCACCCTGTGTTCACTGCAGCACTAGTTACAATAGCCAAAATATGGAGGCAACCTAAGTGCCCATCAATAGATGAATGGATAAAGAAGACGAGTGTACATATATTACGGAATATGATTCAGCCATAAAAAAGAATGAAATCATGCCATTTGCAACAACATGGATGGACCTAGAGGGTATCATCCTAAGTGAAATAAGTCAGACAGAGAAATAGAAATACTGTATGATTTTGCTTATATGTGGAACCTGAAAAACAAATGAATAAATATAACAAAACAGAAACAAACTCAGATACAGAGAACAAAGTGCTGGCAATGGAGGGGAGGGAGGTGGGTGAAATTGCCAAAGGGGATTAAAAGGTGCAAACTTCCAGTTATAAAATAAATAAGCCATGGGGATGTAATGTACAGCATAAGGAATATAGTCGATTAGACAGTAATAACTTTGTATGGTGACAGATGGTTACTAGACTTGCTACAGTCATCATTTCATAACGAGTATAAATGTTGAATCACTATGTTGTACACCTGTAACTAATACTGTATGTCACCTATACTTCAGTGAACAAAAAATGGTTTTCAAAGGTTGAACAAGATCTTTTGGAGTGAAGTCTAATAGTCAGTGGGATATTAAATTCACTTTAATACTGTAATTCACTGTGTTCTCTCAATTTTTTGCTGTTCTTTGAATGTGGACCTGTTCCCACTGCTCCCCCACCGTCAGCTTGTACAGTCATTAATGAGGTGAACGAATCTCACTTACCTCATTCCCATTTTCATGGCATTTTTGAGGCTTATTTTAGGTGTTTCTGTCTCAGGCCAAAAGAGTTTAGCCACAGCCAATGACGCGGGCACTGACATAACTGAAGCAGTTAATAAGTGGGCGGGTGAAATCTGTGATTTTAGGAGAAAGAAGGCCAACCTAGGTTTAGTTTTTCTGTTGTGTTCAGAAAGAATGACTCAAAACACGCACAAGGGAAGAGATGGGCAGGAATTGCGTCTATGCCAGAAAACAATGTTTCTTTGGAAGCTTGGAGGATCTCAGGGAGCCAAGTTGGCATCACCGTGAGAATCAGAGGCAGGAATTTGTGCGAATTGACCACATCTTCAGGGAGAAGCACAAAATCAAAGTCCGATCATTTCAGACGAGAATTAATCCTGTGCTGTAGGAGCTTTCAGAGATCCCTCCACCTCGCTGTGGTCCTTTGGAATGTTCAAACAGTCCCTAGAGCCCATATTTCATTACATCTCGATTTAGATGAGGGTGTCTGGGACTGCAGGCATGGATACAACACTCTCCGTCTTCCTTGTGCTCTGCTGAAAGTTTGTGCCTTTACCTAACACTCATTTACGCAGAGTCCCTGTGATCTGTAAGCATCTCTGCTCTCCTCACCGCAGGTCTACTTAAACTCTTTCCCCTCCCCTCCCCACACCCTTATTGTTTCTGGATTCTCTTCCCTATCTTTTCAGAATTCCAGAATCAGCACCCCCTCCCCGCGCCCATTCCACCCAGCACATTTCTGGAGGCAGCGTTCCCACAGTGGTGGCAGAGTGGATCATCCGGGGATCCAGTCATAGTGCTATTCCTGAGGTCTCCTTGACCCTTTTCCTCTTCCCTGTTCCCTCTTCCTGCTGATCAGCTTCGAGAAACAGATGAAGCCCTGGAGTGAAACTCGCCTATCTTGTAAGAACGCCCAGTCGCCTGGGTCACATGGCTGCTGTTGATTCCATTTCTCCCATGGGGGTTACATCTATGTGTAGCTTGCCGGCTCTGTGCTTAGGACACACGCCCCAGTTATCATAAGGCTCTCCATCCTTACGCTATTGTCCACCAGCTCTCAACGGTCTGTACATTGGAATCTGAGGAGCTTTAAAAAAATACTGATGCCTGGGTCTCACCCCAAGAGATTCCGGTTTAATTACTCTGGGGGATGGGCCTGGGTATTCGGGCTTTTAAAGGCTCCCAGGTGATTCTAATGTGCAGTAAGGTTTGAGAACCACTGCTCTAGGTCAGAGTCAGAAAACTGTTTCTGTAAAGGGCCAGAGAGTAAATATTTTTGGCTTTTTGGGCCACATGTACTCAACTCTGTAGCATGAAAGCTGCCATAGAGAAACAAATAGGAGTAGCTGATTTCCAGTATAAATTCAGTTACAAGAGAAGAAGAGTGATCTAGAATTGGCCCATGGGTTATTCTTTGCTGACCTCTGGTTTATATTGCCTTTACTAGTGTAATTGTTTTTTATTTTACATATTTATATTTTCAGCCACAGTAGCCTCATAATATCACTGTATGCTGCCATGGTTGGATATGATTCACATTTAGATGGCAGGGATATAAAAGTGAAACCCCAAAGCTCCATTCAAATGCCAAAGGAACTTTGACCAGTCATCCAGCAAAAAGGAATCTTTGGGCCTCCTTATCCAGCAGCAACGGCAAAGAAAAAAAAGAAATGACAATAGCAAAGAAAGAAGAGGTTGTATTTTCCATAAATTGATCCCCAAACATTCTTACCCCAAGAGAAACATATGTGCCAAAGACATTTGCTGCGATGGTAGCAAACCCAGTGGTCATGATTGCATGGAACTCGGACCTGGTGAGGTGTGGTAAATATGGCCGGACCTGCAGTGGAGACTCCGTCTAGAAACAGAGAGTGAACAGATTAAGTGTTCCCTTTTAAGTCTTAGGAGGGTATGCCAATCTACCCAAAATTCCATCCTCTAAAGCAGTATTTCTAAGAGAGGACCTGAGACCAGCTCCATCAGCATCACCTGGGAACTCCTTAGACATGCAAATTCTCAGACTTATTGAATCAGAAACTCTGGGGGTGGGGCCAGCAATCCTGTTTTAACAGCCTTCCAGGTGCTTCTGATGCATGCTGGAGTTTGAAAGCCTACACCCTAGCTGTCTGGGTCATTTGAACTCTAGGTCAGTGTGCGTACAGAATCATGTGTAAAGTTTGCAGAGTGTGCAAGGCCAATTCACACAAGGCCCCCACTTAGCCTGGGACTGGACTCCGCTGGCTGGCACACTTTTCTAAGGTTGGAACACCATTGGCTAAGTAACTCTGCCCAGTGGCCTGGCCTTGAGAACTGGGGATTCCCAGGCCTCTGTGGCTTCCCATCTTCCAGCTTCATCTCGACAGACTTTAAATCTCCTTGCTGACACCACAGGGAAATAGAGATATAAGCATAAAATAAATAACAAGGACAGGTGCCCAGAGGCCTTTTCCTAATGAGAATCAAGACCCCTTCTTCCCCTTGGGTGGAAAGGAATCAGGTAGAGTGCAGTTGTAAAGGCTTGAGGCCCCTCAAGAAGGGCAGGCAGCCTGCAGCCTGGGCTTTCCACAAATAATAGCTCAACTTTTAGCATATTAGGTACCAAAGTGAGCATGTGTGCAATTTTACAATTTTATCATTTCTAATGGTTCTGTAAGAGTGAATGTGTTGAGCGTCAATTTATGGACTGAATAGAAATTCAGTACATGAGCCCTCTTACCCCACAGGTAGGAGGAATCAACTCAAGATGGTGCCCTGATTAGTCCAGAGAGATCTTATGACTGTAATTACAATAATTTGAACTCCTAGGGAAGGAAGCATGGGCCCTGCTCTGAAGACTGTGCCCCAGGTTAGCAACCTAGGCTGGCCGATAAGAAGGCTCAGCTGCCTGGAGCAGTCGTAAGCCTGGGATCCACAGCCATGTGTTTTTCTGGGTGACTATTTTTGCTTCAAATCCAATTTCCTTGGGCAGCCGTGCTAGTGAGCACTCACACTTGGTTTCCTTGGCATGTAACTCCATTCTGCCTGAAGCTCCATGTGCAGAGTGATGAGGACAATTATTCTTATTTCTCACTCCTCTGCCCCTTAGGAATGCCCTGTTTTGAGAGACACCCCTTTTGTGCCATATTTCTTTGCTTAAATGGACTTCAGGCAAAAGAGCATCTAACCATGGGATGGATCAGGGAGTGAAAATACTTTTGCTCATCAGCGTTGTTCCTCAGGCTCAGCAAAGACAGACTGTTGGCCAGTTCAGACAAGTTGAGAATGAACTCAGGTATCTATACAGCTGCACAGTTGTAGGTGGGAGCCTTTCCTGGCCTCTTTCATCGCCCCAGCCTTACACTACAGCATGTGAGGCTACCTGCTATGGGTTTGCAGGCATGAGATAGTGGTGAACTCCATGTGAGTGAATGAGCTGCTCACCTCTGAAGGGTGAGCCAGAAGCCTCAACAATTCTATAAACTTAGAAAAGATTGGTTGAGAATCTATGCATGAGAAGTCCAATGCTTTGACAAAGCGATTCAGACTTTGTCAGTCCTGAGGGTTCCTTTTTTGACACTCTTCCCTCTACACTAAAAGAAATAAAACCATCATATTTTTTTATTTCACTTTCTGGAAAAAGTGTCCATTTCAGCAGGTGTTTGGTTTTGTTTTGTTGGTATTACAACTTACGTATCCAAAGAATACATTGCAAGCAGCAACTACAGATTCAATAGGAGATGATCCCACAGTAACCAGCATGAGCCATCCAACCTAAAAGGGGACAAGGGACAAAGTCAGTGAAGAGCCATTTATATACACAAAACTTCAGAGTAGGGATAAAACCTTTGGAGGAAAATGCTGAGGCCTTCAACAACTGTAGGCAGGCCAGCAATGTGCTAACTGTGAGGATATTTTACCTAGTCCTCAGAGCAGGCCAATCACACCCTCCTATTGGAGGGGTAAGTCTGAGTCATTGCACATACTTTCAACATTATATGAATGAATTTCTACTGAAACGTTGTGGACCAGCCATAAGTTATAATAATTGCTGACAGTCATGGCAGGCTTACTGCATTCCAGGCAGTTTTGAGCCCTTGATCTGAGTAACGCTTTAATCCACACAATAACCCTTTGAGGGAGGTCCTATAATTATGCCCATTTGATAGAAGTGGAAACTGAGGCACAGAACAGTTTAGCTGTTTTGTCAAAAACCACCCAGCTAATAAGTAGTGGGGTGTAGTTTATGTTTGGCTTTTTCTTCTTAACTCTCAATCTAACACGGTTTATCGTCCCACTTTCATGGTGCCCCTTCCAGCTGGAGACTGTGGTTCCCACCCTAGGATGGGGACTTCCTGTGGCATTCTTTCTCCTTAGACATGAACACAGCAATTCTAAATGTTTAAATCAACAATCAGAAAATTGCAGGCCCTGGTTCTCTTGCTGAAATACTGAATTCTGCCGGTATTCTGGTTCTCTCTCTCTCTCCATTTTATTTATTGACAGGGATCCAAGGAGGGCTGGGTTGTGCCCAAACCCTGTGTGCACGGCCTTGCTCTCATGTGCGTTCAAACTAGCTTACACGTTTCATAGATTTCTGGTCTAACATGTGATTGTAGGACTGACAGTTGCTGGGCCAGCAGGAATGAGATTAACTTTTTCGACTTTAAAAAAAAATTTATGGGCTTATAAAACTCCCTCAGGAGTGAAAAGCAGGTTCCCCTTCCTGCTCTGATTCTCTAGTAGCTTCCAGACCAGAGTGCCCCCTTTTGGAACCTCCTGTGGAAAAGCAGTGACTCTGCATAAGGCACAGGGTGGTCGACAAGATGGAGGACAGTGCTGTTCTCCCCGGCAGGTGTGGGACCTGTGGGAGTCAATTCTGTGGCTAAAGAAGCAATTGCTAAGGTGTCATGAAGATATCAGTGGGTTGCAAGTCAAAGCCCTGTCAGAAGTCCCTGAGATAGACTTCCCTCTAGGGACACGTAGGATTTTTGGGTTTGAATCCAGTAACTTGGAGAGTGCGATGAATCTTAGTGTGAAAAGAGAGTCACTTTGTAAAACTCTGAATAAAAAGTATTTAGGACTTTGTCCCTGAAATAATCAGCTCTATGCCTGTCACCCATCCCTTCTGGTCCCGTACCTTTCTAATGATCCACTGCATCAGTCCAAGATAGTAGAGCACGGACATGACGGCACCAAAAAAAACCACCATTGGCAGGACCTGGGGGAGGAGATGAAAGTAATCATGGGCTAACGTTGCCATCAGGAGTATTAGTAGGTTTCAGATAAGTCTCCTTCTTTCTACCTCCTTTTCCTCTGAAACATTGTAAAAATACTGGAAATGCCTCTTGAACTAAACAGTACTTTTATCAGGCAGCTGCCCCATCTACAGTCTCTTATCTAATTTGCTCTAGATAATCTTGAGTATATTTCATAGGAAACTTGACATTTTATTTCCCCTCTGCTATAATGATCTTTTCTTCCTTTAGTGTCTCAGAGAAGGAATGAAGGTTTGGAGGAATTTGTAATAATTAGGCCCAACACACTGAAGGCCACTGATGGGTGTTCTTGTTCTGATATTAAAAAGACATGAGCTTCACCACTTATTAGCAGAGTAACCTGGGTCAAGATTAAGTCCCAGCAACCTCAGATCCTCATTCAAAGTGGCTGCACAGATCAGATAGAGCACGGTAGGTCCTCACACACAGTGCCTCCTATGGAGGAAGCATCCACTTTTTGAGCTTTTAGAATGATAATTATTTTACTTATAGACTTTTGATCACTAAGAAATGGTTAAACTTTGGAAACCAGCTTACATCTGTGTTCACAAAGGTTGTCCTTTCCTAGATCCTATTTTCCTGATGCTCTTTGGGTGCCTTCAGTGCAGCCTGGGTGTCTACAGGGAGCCGTGTCTCCCCTGCAGACACCACACAGAGCTGCGGTCTCAGTCCCTCCCCACCCCTACCCCTCCACACCCCTTCCCCTCTGCTCCCCAGCTAACTGGCCAGGGACAAGCTGCCGGCAGAGGCTCAGAATGACTGAGGACAATTTGTACAGGATCCAATTTAGGAAACTCTATTAATACTATATGTTAAAAGACATTCTGAACCCTCATTCAGAGCTCACGCACTTACGTGATTTTGTTGACTTTAATGGGCAGGCAGAGCCTTCCTGAAAGCATCAGGGAGTTGAAGGGGATCATCTCTTAAATGTGCCCAAAGGAATTCTGTGCTTGTAGAGAGGATGGAGGCTACTGCCCTGAGGGGAGCAGGAGGGAGGCCTGAAGACACTGGTGCAGTCTGGGCAGCAAGTCACACTTTCTTTGTGACTTTATTTTTTCCCATTCTGGATTGAGATCAGATATGAGCATATTTCCATCTTAATTTGTAAACACTTGACCTTTCAGAGATGGCTTAGTTATCTCAGCACCAAAGCATCAAATCAGCAGTTTAAGAAAATATCCAGCCTAACAGTTGGCCTAACTGAAACTGGGGTAATTTGCAGGTAAATTGAGAGTCCCTAAGTGAGAAGACAGTTTAGAAGTGTAGGAAGAATAATATACCACAAAAAGGAAAGCTGAAGAAAAAGCCAAATGCATCTTTCTGACTCATCGACAGGAATCTGTAGGGACTTCCCAGAGGACAATGACTTCCTGGGTCTTATGAGAGCCCCAGGAGGGAATCGATGAGGCCCAGGCATGGGGCCAGGTTGACTTTCCACTGTAAAATAACATCCTTCTTTGGCTGGGAGAAGGCCCAGCCCCCAGGCCTCCCTAGGCAAAGATACTGCTGAAGGAAAATGGGAACGGTTTAGCATGAGGATGGTTCTGGAAGGACAGAGGCTGATGTGGGTGACCAGCTGTCCTGTCTAGCCTGGGACTGAGGATTTCCTGTGGGTGCACCTGTTGCTGATTCTGGACATGGAAGCCATTAGTGGCCGTATGCCTGTTCATGGCCAGGTACCTAATGTTCTTTTCCCTGGAATCTCAGATACTGTTGCCCTGCATGATTTTTCATAAGTATCTCTGACAATGCTACAGGCCCTCCAAAAGTATTCCAATATTTCTGACTACTCTACATGTTTCACTTAATGCTATAGTAACAAAGTAAAACATTTGCAATCCATCAACTTCAGATAAAATTGTCATGAGAAAGGACAGTGGTGTGCTGTGCACCTATGACATGCCCAGCAGCTGTATGCCTGGTTTATGGTAGTTGAGTTCCACCCGAACATCCACAAAGACAGAGAAGTTATTGAAAAGGATGTGACTCTGTAGACAAGGATTTGGCTTTACCTTAAATGCAAAGAAGTGGTCTGTGTAGTTCTCACCAAAGACAAAGGAAGCACCAGCATCTGTGTACTCCAGGAAGGTCTGAGATAAAGAAAGGACAAGAGCAGATCATTATAACCCCTGAAGCCGTGGTTACCGTCCTCAGGACCCACCAGGCCCTGAAGAGGGTGAGGACCCAGCAAATTTGTTGGATAAACTTGGAGAGTTAATTTTCTCACTTTCCTCCCTCCAGTGGGTGGAAGGGAAGTGTATTTTTGAACTATAACTGTGCACAGTTTTCCTGGCATTTCTAACATTCAATCTGACTCTAGGGTGCTGAAGAGTAAGCTGGGTGTGGTAATTGCTCCAGAAGCAATAGATGGCACATGGGTGACACTGCTGACCACTACATGCAAAGAGAGCCTGTCTCTCTGTTTGTGGAACCATCTCAGAAGAGTGACACCCCTTTGGCAGGATGAAGGGGGCAACAGGGATAGGGGAGAGATGTAGTGGATGGTATGGGTGAGGGGCAACAATAATATCAATAAACTGGACAGATTAACATTTTCCGCACAGAATTGTTTGTCTAACTCATGGTATGAAATTAAAATTTGATTCAATACATGAAGACAAATAAATCTATTTCTTACATATCTTGAGGCTTATATTCAAATGTTAAAAGCCACTATAAAAGTAAGATGTTCTATTGAACCCAACTTACCTCAATTTTGTTGCCCAACCACTGAAAAGCCCAACGTCCAGGGCCCGTCCTTAGTATTAAGAGCCCAAGAAGAAACTGTAACCCAATTCCCCAAAAGACAGGCCTCCAGCAAACCTATGCAGAAAGACGGAGAGAGATGTGTCTTATTAGAGGATGAATGCTGACCTCAGCATAAACGCCCAGAGGATCACTGTTTCCTTGGAAGATTCTCACACGTGGCCTGTGACCCACCTTCTCTGGGAGGCCCAAGCAGTCATGAGCAGAGAGTCTCTTGATAGACTCATATGCAGAAGTCTCAGGGCTGTATTCCCTCTTTCTAAACCTGAGTTTGACACCTTCAGTCTCAGGGGAGTATGGAACCATTATGTCATGATAAAAAAACTCAGATCCAAAGAGTAGTCTTAGCAGGGCCATAAGGAGGAAGAATCTAGCCTTGATGGTCATGCTCTAAATATTCAATACATATAATTATTTCCCCTTCTGGAAATGGAGAGGCAGAACATGACTTCTCTGTGTGCCCTAGGTTTGTTGATCTGACAAACTGTAAGTGAATTAAGTGAAAGAAATTCCACCCTGTTGAAGTGCTCTCATTTCAACGTAAAAGGAAGCAATTATCTGTAACACAGACCCAGGGAGAGCAGAGTCATGGACAATCAGCTGCTTTCATTTTTGGTGCAGAGATGAGCGGCCTGCAAAGAACTATGGGATTGGAGGCCTAGAACACGGCAGAGATGTTCACAGGGGAAAGAATTTTATCATATTAGGTGACCTTTGTCTCTAATGCTTTTTTTTTGAGGGGTCAACCTTTCAGCCAGTAAAGTCTCCCAGGATTTGCCATTATGAGTCACTTGTGAAGAATTGATGTCTCAGAATTCTTGCCCATGTATTGGGTTACTGACTGACAGAACAAGGATGAGAAGGGAATTCAGTGTGAACACAACTGTTGCAGGAAAAATTTTTGGAGTGAAATAGCCAAGATTGAAGAAGAAATTTGATAAACTGCAGGATCCAATGGTAGAATATTAGATTATTTACTGGTCTGGGGAAATCTGGATCAAAATGGATGAGTTTTCATTGAATGTGTGTTTAATGGGGAGAGGAGGGTACAGAAGTAGAAGTTGGACTTGACACGACAGAACATCTCACTGATTGTGTGACTGGAAAATTACTGAGAATGAACAATGAGAAAGTGACAGTTCTATGAACGTTCAGGAAGAAGGGCCCCCTAGCCACTCAAAATAACACAGTAAGGTAAGAAAAATACTGAATAACAGTTAAATCCTCTCACACTCAATATTTAGAGCAATTCACACCTGAGAAAAAAGAAGGAAAAAACAAAAAAGGATCAATTTCATACTTACTTTGGTTGGGTGCTTGGAAAATAGAAATAGCAGGATAATGTACACTATGAGCCCACCAAAGGACACCAACTGCCGTTGGCCCAGTTTGGCGGTGTCAAAGATCAGCCAGAAACCAACTCCCAGGATCAGAGAGCTCCAAATCACCCTAAGAGAACCAGAAAGGGAGCATCTTTTGTTGTATTTATGGCATTGTTTGTAGCATCCAAGTGCTAACTTGAAAATCTTAATCAGGCTTAAACTAACAAACAAAGAATATTAAGAGTAACACACTCTGGCAACAGAAGTTATACATCCAGAAATTGCAACAGACCCTCTTTTGTTGTGGCTATAATGCAAACATTAGCAATGTGTCCCCCTCATTCCACAGCCCTTGGGCCCTTCAAGGATATATAAAGGGGTCAGAGAGAAGAAAGGATGTTTGGAGAGAAGTTTTGTGATTTTTTGAGAGATCTATGGGGATTCCTCATCTCCATTTTGGACAATGGGTGAGGTGTTAACTTCTTCCCTTTTAGAGAGAATTTGAAATGCATTCTTTGCAGTTAGGGTACCTCACCCGAGCACCAGAGAGCCAACTCGGACTTTAACGTACATTCAACTCCTTGGGGAATCTGGTGGGCATGAGAAGGTTGACACATGGCTTGGATGGCAGAACTAGAAAGGGTGCTGTGTTGGGATTGCACAACACTGGTTTATTAGGCCAAGGATGTGTGAAGTTTCCTGGTAGATCCCAGGTGGGCCATGCTGGGGAGAATGGGTCCTGGGTCCTACCAAGGAGGGCCACGTGGAGGGAGAGGAGGTCTCACAGAGAGAGACTGTGAGAAACGCCCTGAGTGGTCACCTGCGAGCCACGGGCTCCTGTAGGACAGGGTTGGCTTTAGTAATTCACAGACCCTTCCTCCCAAGGAGGCCATCTTTGTGCCTAGAGCAGAGGGTCACCTCCGCAAAGGAGAACCATCCCATCGTTTGGACAACATCTTATCATTTAGTGGCAGTTGAAATTAAGGCAGTTTGTAGGGACATTTGAACACATCTCGAACGAGTCCTCACCTTATCCAGGCCTTGATTTCCTGTTTGTAAAATGAAAGGATTTTAACAGATTATTCCCTAGGTTGCCGCTAGCTTGAATATCCCATAAATGAGGAAGCAATTTCAAAACACAGTTTTGGAAGAGTTTTCGAAAAGACTAAGCTCCCCTTCAACAGCAGTAAGAGAACCAACTGCATTTACCACTTCAGCCAGAACCAATGGCTGTCCAGAAACTCTCTGCCAGGAGACAGGAGCCCGTCAATTTGATGCTCATATTTGGGAATAAAGTGATCCCAGACCACAAAGAAGATGGCAGCCACGGTGATCACGAAGAGAAGAAGGGCTCGGTGAAAGTTGAGCACACACGCGGAAATCACCATAGCCAGCCAACCTGTCAGGAAGCAAACACAGATGGGGGCCATCGGCACCAGCTGGAGACCAGCCACAGCACCAATTGGGTCTGCCAAGGGGAGCTTCAATCAAGGGACCATTGAATGCGGGAGTGCTCGTGTTTTTGGGGGGGCTTCTGTTGTTTTTCCAAGCAAGTCCCTAACGGTCTCACCATGAACACTAGGAGGATGGTGTGCTAGGTCTTTTTCTCTCATAGAACCTTCTGAGTTCTTGAATCCTGATGCTTTATCACTGGGCCTCTCACTCAGTACTACCCACTTTTTCTGGCATTCAGACTCAGCAGGTGAGCTTCCATCAGAGAAAGGCCAGGAGTTGAAGCCACCACTGACTAAAGGTCTTGATTCTCCTGGTTTGCAGCTCAGGTTTGGCCTAAGCTTGAGTAGGAAATCAGGCCCACCAACAATCTCTAAGTGTCCTGGGATCTCTACAGGAAAGGGGAAGGGGTGCGGCAATTACCAAGGGGGCTGCTTTTGAAGAAGAGGTTGTAGGATAAGAACAACAGGGTTTCCTGCTAAAGGTCAGCAAACATGGTCCGAGGTTAAATCTGGCTGCCACATGCTTTGTAGGTGGCAAGTTCAGCTGTATTTGTGTTCGTATTTGTATTCTACAAATAAAGTCTCATGGGAACACAGCCACACTGTATGCTTTTGTCCCATAAGGCAGAGTTATGTGGGTTTCGCCATATGGCGTGCAAAGCCTGAGACACCATCTGGCCTGGGACACGGAGAGTTTATGGCTGGTCCCTGTTCCTGCGGTGTGAGCATCAGCAGACCCACTGACCTCAGGGTGCAGCAATCTTGGGTTAAGGTCTCTGGACTTGGGTGGGAGGTCCCATCTTACAGACAGGAGTGCTCTTTAAAATGGGCTGCAGAGCCCTTTGCTTCGGAGAGAGCGTAACTGGATACCTGCTCATCTGTGAGGAGCTACGGTCCTGCCTTTAGGTAAGAGGAGTGGGCTCCCTGACTCCAGGCTCCTCCTCTCATGTTGCATTTGCATAGAGTATTAATTACTTATATTTCCCGCTGAAGTTAGATTTCTACCTCATGATTATCACCATGTTTTCCACTTACTTGGATGTGATGAACCAACCCTCAAATCGACACCACAGTCACAAAGGCCTCAGGAGTAGGGGACCTAAAAACTTAGCTGCTGGTACAAAAACTGGACAGGGAACCATTCTGCATAGGTGTCCTACGCTGAGACCCTCCCCTCCAGGGGCTTCCTTATTGATTCTCTCCCTCTCTGGATGATTCCGTGAGGTGTGGGGCAGGGGAAAGACTTATTTTCTTTCCACAGAAGGCTCATATTTGGGGGATCTGCAAAAAGAGGCACTCAATTCCATCCTCTTTGTTATTTACCTGCTAATAAGATGCCCCAGAAGATGTACTGAAGGGTGGTTTTGTGTTTTTGATAAAAATCCCGAACTCTACCATGCTTCCTTTCCAGATACCTGTAAGAGGACAAAAGCAAAAAGGCAGGCAGAAGTCAACACCAAAATCATGAAATAAACTGGCAGCTAAGGCTGGATGGGGCTTTGTAAATCAGCATGCAAACAACCAAACTCATGAATTGTGTGTCCTACAATGTAGAAATGGAAGACACTTTTCGTTTTAGACTAAAAGCAGCCATGTCTTGTATCTGCCTTTGCTGAGTGGATATGATTTGCTGAATTGAATGTGCCAGACCTTGAGGGGTTACAGAGATGAGAAAACGTGCTCTTGGAAATGGAGCAGGGGAGATGGAGAGCTATCCAAAAGGTAAAAATAAATCATAGGATGAGGGTGTTTCTCAGTGGCCTAAGAACCTCCACTAGCTGTTAAGCTGCTTTTATAAATGTCGATTTAAGAAAAGTAAAAAGCCAGATAGTGGTGTGGTGGTTAAGTTTGCACACTCCGCTTTGGTGGCCTAGGGTTTGCAGGTTTGGATCCCGGGCACGGACCTAGCACTGCTCATCAAGCCATGCTGTGGCAGAGTCCCACATAGTATTGGCACAGATTTTAGTTCAGTGACAGTCTTCCTTAAGAAAGAAGGGCCAATCTTCCTCATTAAAAATAAAATACAATGAACTCTCATCCCTTCTGGTTCCACAAAGTTTGAGTAAGCTGGTGGTTCCCTCTCCTCTCTCACCATACTTCATAATGGGATGCTGACACACGTCACTGGGTGCTTGAAATGTAAAGTAGGATTTGGTGGATTTGAGAGCTATTAACCAGTAGCTTGTAATATATCTTTCTTAGAAAAATCTAGAATTTTTGGCATGTTTTTGTTTGTCCCAAGTTTAGTTATGGGATGGTGGGTATGTTACCAGACTAAATGTGAGTCCCATTCTGGGTGAGTTAATCAATCTACACCAGAAGTAGTTGTCACACAAAACAGAAATTTTGTTTGCAGCAGGCAGGAAAGAAAATGGAGACCATAGGGAATAATTCACAAAGCTATGGCTCCTTGAGCACAGGGTGGTGGGTCCCTTTATTCGGGGTCGGGAATGAATATTCAAAGGGGAAGTTTTATCATCGCATGTAGAGGTGGGCAGAAGCTGGCACACTCGTGGTCTGAAATCATGCATTTACACGCATCACATGATCTAAAAATGGTTGCTTTGTCCCTCCCAGAGGAGAGTTTGGGATGTTACTGAGGGCAGATTACTTTAGCACAACTCCCCGCCTGTCTGCATAGGCGTCATTCTTGTTGGTCTGGTCAGGTTCAGAGCTATTGGGTCCAGGGTGGTCGTCACTTTGAACTCCTTTCTCCTGCATAGTTGAAACCGCATAAGCTCAAGACCCCGAAGTTGTTGGAGAGGTGAATGTCTGCACCTTTCAAGAAGATGAGAGAATTAGGTCAAACACAAAAGGTTAGAGTTTAGGCAGGACAAGAGAAGTGGGTTACAGTCCAGGGCTGGTGACAGAATCCCTCCTCTACTTTTATCCTGCTCCTCATTCTTGAGGGTATAGGTCAAAGGTCCATCTTCTGTAATTACTTCCTGAATTACAGCATGAATGTTGTCAGAGGGGCCGGTGGAGGAGTAGAATTTTTCCCACTGGTCTAAGGTAGGTTTGTGGGTCACCAGGCATGGCTCTTAATTGTTCATATCCTTGGTTAACAGGGAGGTGGCAGTCACAGCTCTCCGGCATGGAGACCATCATTTTGCCACGGTGTCTAGCTGCTTTGAGAAACAGGCTATTGCTCTCTTTAAGGATCCCAACATTTGGCCTAATCCTCCCAGAGTTATTCCTTGTCTTTCATGAAGGTACAAGTCAGATGGTTTGCTCAGGTCTGGTAAGGCCAGTGCAGGTGCTTCTATTTGGAAGTTTCTAAGCTTATTGAAAGCTTGGTCACATAGCTAATCCCTTTCAAAGGGGTCTATTTCTGGCCCTTGTAATTTGTCATAGAGAGGTTTAACAATCAACCCCAATTAGGGATCCTCGTGTGGCAGAAGCCATTCATCCCAGGAATACTCCTAGCTGCCTGGATGTTCTTGGTTGAGAAGTTGATATATTACCATTTTCCTCTCTTGAGGAAGGCTGTGCTGCCCTTTTGAAATATAAACCCCAAATACTTTAAAGTCTCTTTAGATATCAGTGTTTTTCCCTTAGACACTTGATATCCCTTAATGGCTAAGAAGTTTAACAAGGTCATTGTGTTTTCATCAGACATTTTCTTAGAAGGACTGGCTGCTAGGATGTCATGCACATACTGTAACACAATGCTTAGTTTTAATTTTAATTCCCTTAAACCTCTGTCCAGGATTTCCCCCAAAATTGTAAGGGAGTTTTTAAATCCATGGGGTAAGACAGCCCAGCAATGTTGTTGTTTCTGGCGGGAGTTTGGGTCCTCCCATTCAAAGGCAAAAATCTCTTGGGACTCGAGGTTCAAAGGGACGTAAAAGAAAGCATCTCTTAAATCTAGCGCTGTATGAAGCATGCTGTTCCAGGAAGATTAGCCAGCAGGTGTAAGGATTAGGTCCTACAGGATGTGGGTCTTGGGCTGTTTTCATTCACAGCCCTAAGGTCTTGAACAAATCTGTACTTCCCTTTTCCAGCTTTTTAATGGGCAAAATGGGAGTGTTACATGGGGATCAACATGGCCTGATTATTCCTTGTTTTAAAAGTTTGTCAATTACAGGAAAGATTTTTCTTATGGCTTCTGACTTTAGAGGGTATTGTTTTCCCAGAGGCCAGTGATCTATCTGCTTTAAGTCCACCTTTACAGGTATGACACTGGCTGCCTGTCTCATTTGTCCTTGTGTCAATACCTCCAAGTTGACTCAGCTTAGAATGTTTGGGGAATTTATTCCTTTTCAGGTACTGGTTTGTCTTGTAACAAGGCCATGAGCTCGACCTCCCAATTTTGGGGAAATTATATTTCTATTTTGTCTTGTTCCAAGTTTATTGAGGCCCCTAGTTTTGATAATATGTTCCTCCTGAGGAGAGGAACAGGGAATTCTGGCCAATATAGAAAACAATGTCTTAATGTTTTTGATCCTATTTCACAGATCAGGGGCTCTGGAAAACTTTTGGTCTCTCCTCTACTGATACTCCTTTTATATCACATGTTCTTCTTTGAAAAGTTTCCTTTCTGGGTATTTAACACCAGGAATGTGGCACCAGTATGGAGCAAAAATTCAGCATGCTCTCCTCCCACTGCTAAGGTTCCCTGGGGTTCTTCTGGGGAGATGAGGACAGGTTGCCTGGAGCCAACTGAGGAACCCCATGGCCCCATCACATCTTATCTGTAGTCATGGGAAGTTACCATGGCTTGGTCTTGTCGGATCCCTTCCCTCTCTGGGGTTGGTTTGGACAATCTCAATGCTCTTCTCATCTGTAGTTGCACACTGAGTAGGCCCCAACTTCATTGGTGGCCTTCTGGTCCAATGGTGGGGGCCAGGGTCACTCACCCATGGAATATTCTTCTCCTTTAGGTGACCTCGAGCAGACTGGAGGGCCACCAACAGCAGAGTATCTTGCCTCTACATCTCTTGGTCATCTTTCATTTCTTCTGTCATATCTCTGGTGTTGGGTACCCTGAAGGCTACCTCCACTAACTGCACAGAACTGGTATCAGGCCCTACCATCAACTTTTAGAGTTTCCTACAGATATCTGGAGCACTTTGAGATGTGAACAGGTATCAAGAACCACTTATATCAGTGACATTTACCCACATAATATAACCTAAGAAGGTTTATTATTATTTGGTAATATTTTAGTTATTTAATACACCCAATAAGCCTAAATAGCCTAAAATCTCCCACTTTATAGAAAGAACATATTCTTTGAGAAGTCTCAGGGTCCCATTGAAGCCCCCAAAAGACTTTACTTAGGATTTGAACCTTGGGGAAATGTGTGAAAAAAATATCAAAGGGCTTTAAAATACTTGGTCAAATAGGAAATAATGTTTAGTTACCCATTTAATCAAGGTGAAAACAGAAAATGTCAGAGGCAAACAGAGAGTGAAACAGTCTAAAAAGAAGACCCTAATAGAGAGACTTCAGTCACCTTGACTGTAGGAAATTATTTCAACGAAACATAGATTTTCTGTCTTGTAAGTAGACTCACTCAAAAATAAAGAAAAAAATAAAACCTTCTGTAATCTCTTTGTCAAGAGTAGACCAAAACTTTAAGAAGATTATCCTTTTAAGAGAGACAAAGCCAAATTTGTAATTTTGTTAACCTACTTTTGATATAGAAACTCATTTATTTAATTGAATTTATTTTAATCTTAGTAAACCTGACTATGTATAAAACTCTTCTCGGGGATTTTACTTTCACAAACTTTCTGTCACCTGCTTCTTATATTTAGAATTTGTCCCACGTCTTCCCTCCCTTTTTATTTCTAGTACTGTAGGACAAATTTATCTTTTTTAACCAAACAATTAAACATATTTATACTCTTTATGTATCTTTCACTGAAAACATACATTTTACTTTTCTTGAGTACAGATATGTTTCTGTTATTAACTTTTAGTAGCTTCAATCACATATATTAATTAGAATTTTTAGCCCTTACAGACTTTGATTTTGTTTGCAAAAACTAAGAAGTAAGTAATTACATACTGTCTTTTACATTAGTATTCTGTGGCTTAGTATATTTATAAATACTTTTTATAAATTTTAGAAACGTTATTTTATAGTATAATCTTTTAATAAAATATAGGACATGTTTATTAATAGACCTGAACATCTTTTAGTTGTTTTTTAATAAGAAGGCAAAAGTAGATTAACCTTTATCTGATATTTTGACTTACTTAGAAATTATCTAGATATATAATGAATTTTTTATCATTTAATTTAACCAAGTAAAACTTCAAAGTTTTAACTTACCAAAGAGATTTTGGAAGTTATTCTAAATAGATATGTTATAAAATATAATTATCATTAAAAGCTTATCCATACACTCTTACCTCACTTACATTTAAGCCATTTGTTTTTAACGATCATGTCCAGATTACTCACAAAGTCTTTATGTGACAACAGAGCAGCTAGCCATCATTTTAAGTTATTGAAGTACATATATTAGAACATATGATTACTGTTAAAAGTTCTCCTCCACACTTTTACCTTTTTACATCTATTTAGTTTACCTGTTTCCAATGAATATTTAGATTGCCTATAAAAACTTTATGAATTATCAGACAAAATTAGCTATTATTTTAAGTTATTAGTTTTGTTGACAAATTCTGTAACAGAGACAACACAAGTTTGACTCATGAAGGCTGTGTGTTTACATTACATCCTATGTTGATAACACTGAGGACATGTCTATTTTAATTAAACCAACAAACTTAAACGAGTTTTTATTTACCAAAGATCATTTTAGATCATGTCAACTTGAAAGACATCTGGGCTAGTTTCTATCACATTTAGAAATAATTTATATGGTGCTTATTTTAAGTCAATTAAATAGAGCTCTCTTTAGAAATGACACCATCCAGACACACACATAGAGACATATAGAAATTGGAAACAGAGATTTTTAAAAATTTCAGCCATGTCTCAGGCACAAAATTTAAAAGAATGCTGGATTCAAATTGTGACCTGTTCAGATGGCTAAAGAATTTTGTTAAAGATTTTTTTTTTCTTTTTGCTCTAAGGATCTTTTTTTTTTTTAAAAGATTTTATTTTTCCTTTTTCTCTCCAAAGCCCCCAAGTACATAGTTGTATATTCTTTGTTGTGGGTCCTTCTAGTTGTGGCATGTGGGACGCTGCCTCAGCATGGTTTGATGAACAGTGCCATGTCCGCGCCCAGGATTCGAACCAACGAAACACTGGGCTGCCTGCAGCGGAGCGTGGGAACTTAACCACTCAGCCACAGGGCGAGCCCCTCTAAGGATCATTTTTAATAGCTGGTTTTAAAGTCATTTTTTCTTTTAGCAGCGTCTGTGTATTAATCAAAGAATGCATGCCACTGTGAGAGGTTTGGAATCCTCTCTTTCAAAGTGGACTTTTTCTGGAACAAATTTCCCCAAAATGGCCATTACGATTTTAAAATATTTTAAAGGTCTACCTATTTTCACTTGCTTAGTTTCAGATCTGGAATTTTGGAGAAGGTGAAGTGGGGGAGCCCAGCAAGAGAGGAGGGAGGAGGAGCAGATTGGGCATTCTTTCCCTAGCATGTTTGTTTATTTAGTTATTTTTTCTTAAAGAGGCAGCAGGGGATTTTTTGTCTTGTTTAGAAACCTCAAAAATTAAAATAGGCAGAGCCAGCCCAGTGGCATTGTGGTTATGTTTATGTGCTCAACTTCAGCGGCCCAGGGTTGAAGGGTACGGATCCTGGGCATAGCCCTACACACTGTTCATCAAGCCTTGCTGTGGCGATGTCCCACATATACAATAGAGGAAGATTGGCAGAGATGTTAGCTCAATGACAATCTTCCTCACACATACACAAAAAAATAAAAATAAGCTTCCCCTTGGTTGTTTAATTTTTCATGACTGGCTTCGTCTCCAATTCTGAATGTAAATACACCAGTTTCAGTCAACTGAACTTGCCCCATTTTGGCCATTTTAAGGTGAGGTCTCTCTTAGCATGGTTAATTAACATTGGCTGAAGGGTGGATTTATATGTGCTCACAATCCCCACAGTATAATTTAAAATATAATTAGGCAAAAGAGGTGTAATCATTTTACATAAAGCCCATCATTTTTAGCTGGTCCTGCTGGAAAAGGTTAGCTCAAAGACAAAAACAACAAAAAACCCTGACAGATCCAATATCCAGTAAAACAAAAACTGGACCAAGTGCTGGGAGGGCAAGTACCTTGGCCCCATCGTGCACAAGTTCCATGACTCACCACAGTTGTCTTCTCAAGTCCTGAGCCTCATTTCTTCCATGAGCAAAAGCAAAGTCACCCTCTCGAAGGAGGACGGTTGAGGAGACTAAGGACCCCAGGAAGGTCCGATCTGGGAGAGGAGAGGCCGATTGAACGTCTCCAGAAGGAAGTGAGAGGGAAGGAAAAATGAGAGCCTTGAGTTTCCCCAAGGACGGCTGGTAAGGGAACTGAAGACAGAGAGATCCGAGAGGCCTGGAAGCCCGTCTATTGAGAAAACAGAGAGGGATAGAGGATCCTCTGCTGGGCGTGCCCACCCACTTTGTTCCAGATGGCTCAGCAGTTAAGACTCAGACTGCAGGGACCTAACCCCGCCTTGTACCACAGTTACAAGATAAGACTCAGACTCTGTGAGTCCAGATACCAGCTCCTTCTGTCACTGACACAACACAAAACACCAAAGGGCCCTCAAATGGGCTTCAAACCCCAGCAGTGACAAACTCAAATGGGCTTCAAGCCCTCACTGCCCAAAGACTAGTCAGCAGGGATTGCTCCCATTGGCCAGAGCCAAGCTTCGGTTCTTCCGGGGTGGCCGGGTCACGCAATCCTTTCAATCACATGGAGATTGTCACTCCCTTGAGCCAGGCCACCTCTCGACAGAGACCTGAATCCCGAAGCCAGGCTCCAACATGTGAATCTTGGGACTCAAAACCAAGGCTGGGGCAGCCTTAAACCCAAGGTTCAGGCAACTGACTTTGTGAGACAACTTAAAGAAATCATACTTATAGTTGTGCCATGGGTTCGACACGGCTGACCTCCATCGAGTGATTCTCGGAGAAAAATTCTCAGAGTGGCTGCTGGGTCTCCTGATGGGGACGTGATGCTAGGCCAGCAGCAGTGACACCAAGAGGAAAGTCTCTCCTCATGAAGCTCCCCCCTCAACCTCCAGTAGCAAGAACCGGTTCTCCATACGTTGGAAACCTGATGTTTGGAAGAATAGAGCCTGAGAGGGACAGAGGTCCCCTCTGGGTCACCAATTTGTACAGGTAGCGTGGGAGCAATGTTTGCATCTGATCACTTCATCTGGGGAGGAAGGTGTCCACCCATAAGTGAGTGTGGAGAGGCCACAGGGCCATACCCACAATGATTGTCTCTATTTCTCCTGGGATGCTCCCGGTCCCCTCCAAACCTTCTCTGAGACCTGGCTTCCCTGCAGGTGCCTCTTTGCTCAATGACACATCTAACAGAATCCTCTGCTTCTCCTGCTTGAGGCTGGATGGAAGGAATTTACTCTCACACTTAACCATTGCCACTTCCAGGCCACTGGACAGCATTTCTAAAACAAGCAATTCTCGTCCCGTACAGGATTCCCAATCTCCAGGACCGCACAGGACCCTGGCCATAGTTGGGACCATCCCTCTCCTTGGTTAACGCCTCTGGTCCCCTCCTTCCCACAGTCATGCCCACATGTCCAGGTCTCAGCTCCTTCAGGTTTCAGGGCACAGCTCAGTCCTTAGTTTCTACGAAGCCTTCTTGCATCTGCTCAGGCAGAGGCATCTTCTGCACTTTCTTCCTACTGTCTTCTCTGTGTTTAGTTATGAAGGCTTGACTGACTATAACTTCCTGGAAAATGGATGTGTGTGAGCCCTACAGCACCAGCACTGGGGACACCAAGGATGTTTGACAGGCATTTGTAGAATTACTGGATAAATGCAATGGGAGTGTACATTGCTTTTCTGGAACAGTATTTCACAGCTGTGGGTTGGGACCCCTTAGTGGGTTGTGAACTCACCCAGGGCATGATAACCATCATCAAAAGGAAGAAGAGGACATCTCAGAGTGTACCACACAGAGTGACGGAAGGTATACTTCATGAAACTTTTGTCTTTATCGTGTGTGCATCTGTACTGAGAATTCGAAACACTGTTCCAGAAGATATTGAAGGAATATAAATGTGTAAAGACTAAGTTTTTCATAGTCTAATTTAGGGAAGGCTGATGATGCATTATCCTCAGTCATGGACATAGTGTTGAAAAGTAGCAGTGGTGAAGGGCAGCATTTAATAAGGCGCATTCACCTGCTTTAGGGTGGATGTATCCGATTTCTTAATTGCAGGGAATGTGTGTAGTCCCTTACAGCAAGCTGACACTGCATAAAATAAAGGAGCCAGAAATAGACGCTTGGCCATTTGGTTTTCTAGGCTGAACACCTCCCAATCCCCTGGGGGTTGTTTCCATCCCATTGACATTGGTGAAACCTGAGTGCCTCTGGCCGCTCAAGAGAATCTCTCAGCCCCCAGTGTCAGAGACTCAGAAAGTAAAGTGAAGGATGAAACTAAGCTCAGGTTTCTGATGCGGTAAATATTCTTGATGGTGTATATGTGATAAGAGAGTTCAATCCTAATTCTGACCAACTGCAGAGATATCTTCCAATACATAAAAACAAAGCTCCTCAGAGATTTAGGAATTAAATCAAATTTAAATAGGAAGTTAGAATATTGACAAATACCTTGGTGTTACGATAGAGTACCAGACAATCTTGGACTAGGAATCAGAAGCTGAGGTTGTAAGTTAGCCTTGTTCCACTCTAGCTGAATAACCTTGGGTAAATCACTTCTCTGAGTTTCATTATCCTCATCCAAAAAATAATGACAATAATTTGCCTCTCCCACCTAATGGGTGATAAGGACCTGGAATACCTTCACGGTAATACAAGAGAAGAGCAAGTTTGTTGGGATTTAAAATGGGTTGGGCTTTGAGAATTCAGTTGCTTGTTGATTGACATTGGGAAGATGAATTAACTACTTTGTATGGACTGCAGTAATTAGTTGGTAATTTATAACATTAATTAGAAGATCATCTTGGATATTGGGTTCCAGGTGGGAGATCAGAATCAGCCACCCCAAAATGTGTCTCTTTGACTTTATTATTTTTAAGGAGAAAAGACTCTGAAAGAAACTTTGACCTCTCCTTAACCCTCTAAAAGAAAGTTAAGATAAAAGACCTGTCCCCAGGACAGTCCATCACCATAGATAACTCTGGGTATTTTTAGACTGGGAGGGTCCTTGTTAAGCCTATTCTTATCAAAGTTCTCTTTACCAAACATTTGCTTTTCCATCTCCATGTGAATTGCCTTCCATCTCTTTGAAGTCCCAAATCACTACCCCCAACACCCTCCTTTGTCTTTAGCTAAAGATGTTATTTGAGGCGGCAGCTTCAGCTATTCTGGCTGAGTTACCCAGTTTTCCTAGGTTTCTCCCATGTATTCATGTTAAAAGCTTTGTTTGATTTTCTCTTATTATTCTATCTCATGTCAATTTAATTCATAGATCAGCCAGAAAGACCTAGAGGGTACAGGAATTCTCTTCCTCCCCTACACAGGACATCAACAGTTTGAATTGACCATGTTGATTATCCTAGAGCTCCATTAATTTTCCCAAAATGGCATTGGGTGGGTAGTAGGGACGGGGGACTGGTGGTGGTGAGGGAGAGGTGGTGACCATCTCTGATAAATTGTAACAAAGACTAAAAGTTAGATGAGGATAAAACAGCCACTCTGTTTAGGAGGTAGGTGTGGTTATTTGTCTGTACCCTTTTGATGAGTCTCTTGGTCATCCTTTTCATCTTCTTTGTTTCCTGGAGAATCCTGCTCAATGGTGACCTGTTTTTCCTCCTGGAAATAAAACAGTGGAGCAGAGATGGAATTTTGAGATCCTGGACACAATGGACCTTGATCTCTTTTAATCAGAATTTTGGCAAAGAACTTTTTTTTTCCCTGCTTTTTCTACCCAAATCCCCCTGGTACATAGTCGTATATTTTTTTCAGCTGTGAGTCCTTCCAGTTGTGGCAAGCAAGGAACTTTTAAAAGGTCCTTTTAAATCATTATGCAAGAAGATGGCACCTATAATCTACTACACAGACATTTTTTCCCCTCATCACAAAAGAACCAGATCACACGTCTCTTCCTTTACCTCCAAAGGAGCTGTTGGTATTATCTGCTTTTCTTTAGGAACAGGCTCATATCTCTGTTTTTCGCTCCTGCCTCTACTGTAATCATTCAACTGTCACTCTGTTTTCAGGCCAGTGTGAAATGAAGCTAACACCAGAGCTGCGTACATCTCTCTTTATAGTCTGCCAGCCCCAGTTTCCAAAGGACTGAGATGAAGGCAAACAATATTTGCCACCCCAAAATGTGTCTTGTCAACATGAGAATTATTTTAGGCTGACTGTTTTTAAGAAACAAAAGACTCAGAAAGTTTTTCTTGTTACCTCCCCCTTAACTGCCTAAAAGACTTGAGGAAAAAAACCTGTCTCAGGAAGCGCGCTATTGCCTTAGCATACCATGAACTGGGTGATACACAGGGAGGAACCTAGAAAAGCCTGTTTGTTGGGCTCCCTCTGTGTTCTTCTGTTTCTGTGTGGCCAAAAGAACATTTGTTTCCAAATATTTGCTTCTTTTCACCTACCTGTGAATTGCATTTCTTCCCTTTGAAGTCTCTGAATCCCCCCACCCCCAACATCTTCTTTTTTCTTTAGCTGAGGATTTACCTGAGGATAGTTACTCAGTTTTCCTGGGTTTCTCCCATGTATGCATGTTATTAAACTTTGTTTGATTTTCTCCTGTTAATCTGTCTTGTATCAATTCAATTCTTAGACCAGCCAGAAGAACCTAGAAGGGTAGAGGAAAATTTCTTCCTCCTCTGCAGAGACCAAGCCTGGTGTTATTTTCCTGGTAGCCTAAGGCTTGGTCTATAGATGTGAACACTAGCTCAGCATCTTCAAGAGCTGACAAACTCCCCTCTGGAACTAGAGTCCTTCTATCAATCGGGCTAAAGGGAAATTTTTCCCTTACTCCACTAGCCCTTGCTCTCATTGACTGAGTGAAGTGGATACCTGGGCCATCTTTCATGGAAAATCTTTCTAGGTACTGTTTGAGCTCCTAAATATCCTGACCCATCCTACTCTTGGGATGGCATAGAGGATTTCCCACCTCCCTCCATTCTGCAATAATGTCTCCAATAGGTCCAGCTATTGTAAGCAATGGTGAGGGGAGATGGGGAGGAAGTATGTGGATGTGGAGCAGTTTCGAACATGCTCTAGGAGGTCTAATGCCAAATCTCAGCTTTAGTTTTCTGTCATATACCATGATGCCTTTGATTCTCTTTACCTCAACAAAAATCATAGAAATAAGTCATTAGCATGTTTCTGAACCAAAGGGATCCTCAAAGATCACCTAGTCCTTCGAAGCCAAACTCCACTATACTTCTGACTTAGACGGCCCTCATTTTCTCAGTGGGCCTTGGGAACT